GCAGCACTGCTGTGAAATTCGCGGCACTGTCGCAGCTCTGAAAAACAGCATAGGTCACCTCACAGAAATCGCCATAACTTTTTACTCCAAACTCCATTTCCAGTGATCTTGAACTTTCTAGAAAGCTTGTTTCGAGGGCTATCTAGCCCAGCCAAGAACAAGCCCCAAGATAAACAAGTGAAAGTGTTATGCTAAAGTGTTTCTCTCATGTTAGCACTTGGGTTCGGTTAGTCGTTTGAGCACTTGAGACTTGTCTATGATTCGTATTGTATCTCCTTGATAGTACGGCATACCTATACTTAAGATCAAGAGAATATAACAATTTCAACCACTTGAATCTTCAATGTCTTCATATGCCATTTCTTCTCAATATCACTTCATAAGGGGTTGCAATTAACTTTGTCTCCTCTCTTTGATCAAACATACCTTGAGCATGTGACTTGAACCATTTCCATACATATGAGTTCAATTCATGGCTTCAAGTCACTTCCAGCAATGATTTGATCCTAAACACAATATGACTCCTCATAGCTCGATTAGTTCCTCGACTCAAAGCAAGTACTCGCTTCTTCACCTTAGCCATGGTACCTCGGTCCTTAAGCTATTGCTTGCCCTTCACCTTCGCTTAGTCTCTCGAAGCCCTTTCCTTGCTATCTTCACCCTATCGAGCCATACTCAAGTCACATCATATTAAGCATCCATTGGAAAACTATTTCTTCAATATTATAATCCTTGCTTGAATATCTTCTAGATATGAATGTTGAGATCAATCAGGCTTCAGTTGGATTCACATAGATTGAGATATATGAATCAAAATCAATATGGTCAAGCCAATTCACTATTCCTTATGTCCTCTTCATTTTGCTTTGACACTCCTAACACTCACTTCAATATCTATCTTCATACTTTTAGCTTGATCAAATTAATGCAGAGTGATTTTTCAAATCTTTATCCATACAAGCAAACCAACATAGAGACCGACTTATATCCAATATGAGTTGTGTCCTTTGTCATTTAACCTTTGCTTGGTATTTCTTCACTTATGCATTGACTCATTTTTTAATCCTTGATCAAAGCTAATCCACTATCAAACTCTTCTTGTTCATGCAAAGCAAGCCATTAATGTTTGCTTTCACATGATACTATGATATCCCACAACATAGAGGTCATTTCATCTATTATATTTGCATTGTTGTCTTCGGCTTGAACTAAATTGTTTCCATAATCTTCCAACACAACAATACACAAGTTTGGCCTTGATTTGAACATTATGTGGAATATCATCAAGTTTGACTTCTTGTTGAATCTATATACACTTCTTATTGCACAATTCACAAGTGTATGTAATAAATTCAATTTCCTGTTCAACACTTAGCAAACTTGTTAGATCTTTAATGGTGTTGTCATTCAATTCACCAAAACCCACTAAAGAGCTAGATGCACTTACTGGTATAGGTAGGAATTGCTTGGGCAACAGCTTTGATTAAAACTTCACCCTCCAGCAGATAGAGTTTGTTCTATCCAACCCTGAACTTTATTCCAAACTCTATCCTTAAGATACTGGAAAGCTCCATTTGTTGATCTTCCTACTTCAGTAGGCAAACCCAAATACTTTTCATTTAAGGACTCATTCTCCACATGAATTATAGATTTAATTTCATTACGAGTGATTTGTCTACATCCTTTACTAAACAATATAGATGATTTTGCTAGGTTTACCTTTTGACCCGATGCATTGCAATATTTTAATATGGAATATTACACCACTCTTGCTTCACTTGCTAGCCTTAAAAAATAGTATACTATCATCGGCAAACAGAATATGATTGATTTTTGGAGCTGATTGTGCAATCTAAATACCTTGTACACCGTTTTCACTTTTCAGCATACTTGAAAGGCCTTCAACACATAACAAGAACAAATAGGGCCAAATTGGGTCTCCTTGTTGTATTCCTCTTGATGGTTTAAATTCTTGCAGCTGCTCTCCATTAAATAAGACTGAAAAGGAAACATATGTAGCACATTTCATTACTTTATCTACCCAAGGTCGGATAAAACCCAATTTTAACATTATAGCCTCTAGATAGTTCCATTCGACTCTATCATATGCCTTTGTCATATCTAATTTCAAAGCACAATGAGCATTATTTTTTGATTGGCTTGTACGCATAAAATGTAAATATTCATATGCTACTAGGACGTTGTCAGTAATGATCCTACCAGGGACAAAAGCTGATTGCTCTTGGGAAATGATACCTGGAAAAACCATTTTCAACCGATTGGCCAGAGCCTTTGATATGACTTTATATACCACATTGCAAAGACTAACAGGTCGAAATTGGTTCAAAGATACTGGATTCTTCACCTTCGGGATTAGAACAATGAACGTACTATTGATTTCAGTGGATATATCATCTCCATTAAGAACCCTCAGCACCATCCTTGTTAGATCCTCACCACAAATATCCCAGTTACGCTGAAAAAATGTGCAGGAAATCCATCAGGGCCTGGCGATTTCGTTGGACACATTTGAAAAAGAGCAATCTTTACTTCATTTTCAGTAAACGGGGCACATATGTCATCCGTTACCTTTGGACAAACATGGTCTAAAACTAGATGCATGTTAGAGGTTCCTTCAGACTCGAATAAGTTGCAATAATAATCTCTTGCCATTCCATGTAATTCATTTACATTTGTGCATTCTGATCCATCGAGTTGATTTAATTTTACAATTTTATTTTTCATTCTTCTTCTGGTTGCTCTTTGATGAAAGAACTTAGTATTGCTATCTCCCTCTCTAAGCCAAGTAACCCGTGATCTTTGCTTCCACATAATCTCCTCTTGGTAATTCAACATGATAATGCGTTCAACTATCTTTTGTTCCTCTTCAAATATATAATTTCTGGCTGGGTCAGATCTTAATCTTTCTAGTTTTTTCCGTTGCTCTCGCAGTTCATGCCTTATAGCACCAAACTTTTTATCTGCCCAAGATCTGAGTTCTTCCGCAAGGTCATGTAATTTTTCTTTCATGTCTTTCACTGAACTACAGTCTTCTCTATTCTCCCAAGTGTTTTGAATCAGGGAGCGCAGCCCCTTATTTGTTTCCCACATAATTTCATATCTGAAAGGTTTTCCTTGACCATACATAACATTACTTCTTTCATCTTGCTCAAGGGATAAAAGAATTGGACAATGATCAGATTTCACTGCTGTGAGGTGACGAAGTACCGCAAATGGAAAATAAGAGCTCCAACTAGCTGATGCGAGCGCCCTATCGAGACGAACTCGAACAAAATGTCCACCAGCCACTTTCTTTTCAAAAGTCCAGTCCAGTCCCATGTAGCCTGTGTCACAAAGCTGGCATACATCCACTGCCTCCCTGAAACCCTCCATAAGATAATCTTCTCTAATATTTGGACCCAACTGTTCTTCCCTCCTAAGGATTTCCTTAACATCACCCATACACAGCCAAGGAAGATCAAAATCACTCCTCATTTGCTTCATGATATCCCATGTACGGTGCCTAAGAGATCTATTTGGCTCCCCATAAATGAAAGACAAACGCCAAGGTTCTTTTCCACTCTCCGTAATAATTGTATCGATATGATACTTTGAGAATTTTTTAATGGAAACATTCACATCAGTCTTCCAGGACAGCCCCAAGCCAGCCAGCGAGTAACGTAAGTTCTCCACTCGGTATTTATTAATCTGAGTTTCCATAATAAATAAAACCGAGGGGGCATAATTCTTCGCTAAGTCACGAAGTTCTTTTACTGTTGCAGGGTTGCCAATCCCGCGACAATTCCAACTTAAGATTTTCATTGTTCCCGGCAGCACTCCTCAAGGGAGCCCGCCGATCTCGTTTCAATGTCATTTACTTCATTTTCTACCACCTCCACTCTTAGGCGTTTTTGGTCACGTTCCTTCAGAATTCTGTCATATTCATGATCATTATGAACATCAACTGTTGTCAGAGGAGATCCAACATTTGGAACATGTTTGCTTATTAAAACCATTGGCATGTCAGAAGTAAGGACTAGAGCTAAGGCCAGATTATTACTTTCCTGCTTTCCATCACATTCTAGCACGAGACCATTTTGAGCCTCACTTCCGTCATATTTAAGGAGCCGATCACTGTCCCTCTTCAAGGTGCTTCTTGCATCATCTTTTAAATCAGCTAAGTCATGGGGAATATTTTGACTGCTACTTTCTTTTCTATGCTCAGAATTTCTTAGAAGGGAAAAATCCTTGGCTGATTCTTTTGAGTTTGACCCCTTTGTATCTGACGAGCCTGATGATTTACTTCCTTTGATTATAACTTTCCTATCAGGCGCAATCAACCAATCCCCATACTGGAAGGTCTTCTTGTCGTGCACTCCATCACCACATTCAGTGTCAGAATGACCCATATTTAGGAAGTTTTTCATATTTGACACGAAAAGCTTCTCGTTTTCCAGGCCCCAAAGAAATATAGACAATCCTAGTTAGAGGTTTTTCCACATCTAGCTTTACTTTGATACATAAGAAGTCTCTCCACCCATTAATTTCCTCATCCAGATCCACCTTCAGGAATTCACCTATTTTGTTTCCCAATTGACGACCAATATTCTTTGTTCTAAATCCAGTTGGTAAATCATAGATTTTTTTGTTGTTGAGAAAAGGTAAATCATAGATACGAACCCAAGCAATCATGTTCTTAAATTTAATCTTAGAGGGGCTTTTATGATACCATCATAAAGTGTTGTGCCAAGAGACAGTACCACAGCCCACCTCGAATGCCTCGGCCCACGTCCCATCCCCACCCGCATTTCCCAAGCCTACGAGTAAACATGTAGGCGTAGCCAACAAGCGGATTCCCGCGTGCTCTCAATTCTCAAACACCCTCCACCTGCCTCGCCGCGTCGAGCGGAGCGGGCCGACTCGCCCGCCACACACCGCCGCTACATCCTCCCTTACTCACGGCGGCGTGACACCTTCAGTTTTACATTACACCGAAACCAATGGCCTCCGGCGGCGCGCCGCCGATCGTTGCCGTCGCCGTGCGCCCCGGCGGCAGTGGCAGCCGCCTCGCCGCACGGTGGGTCGCCGCGGGACTCCCAGACGGCCACGCCACCGCCATCGCCGTCGTCCACGTCCTCCCCGAACTCTCCTACGTGCCCTCCCCGAGTAAGCTCCCCTCGTCCACCCCATCTCGGCTGTTTGTTCATCTGTTCCCCATCCCGAAATGGGCGCGAGCTGACGAGTGACGTCGTGGGTGTCGCTGCTGCGGCGGCGGCGGTGCAGCGGGGGAGCGGGTGCCGGTGGCGCTGGTGGGAAGGGAGCCGGCGGAGGCGTACGCGCGGGACCGGCGCGCGCGCGCGGAGGAGGCGCTGCTCCCGATCCGCCGCCTCTACTGCTGTGGCCGCGCGAACGTCACCGTGAGTGCGCGAAAGCTCGCATTTTTAGCGCAGCGCCGCTTGTGTTTCGGTGTGACTGGAATGGGGTTTCTCCGCGCGCGCAGGTGGAGACGGTGGTGGTGGAAGGCGACGGCGTGGCGGAGGCGCTGCTGCGGTACATGCACGAGTCCGGCGTACGGAGCCTGGTGCTCGGCTCGGCGTCCTTCCGCTGGTTCCGGAGGTGAGTTACTGTATTTTTTTTTTACTTTCATTTTTGTAAGAAAAAGAAATGTCAAAACACTTGTCTAGCAAAAAAAACGAGCATTTTAGCTCACAATCAACATCGTCTTCCTCCCGCCGCATCGTTCTTCACTTCTTCCACAAGCTCCGATCCACACCTCTGACGCTGCGGACACGTGCTGATGCCCCTGCCACGGCAGTATAGGGTCTCACCAAGTTGCCACTGCTGCCGCCTCCATGGTGACCCCTGTCCTATACCTTACTCGCCGGCCGCCTCCGCCGCCATCTGGTATCCCTGCTGCCATCGCTGCCGCCATGGTGCCTCTCTAAACTTCTGAATTCCAAATGAACTCCAATCCCGAATCCGAATTCCGAACCACTCCAATCTCGAATCCGAGCTCTAACCTGGTCGGAGACAGAATTGAAGAAACTAGGAAAGAACCTAGGGACGTCAGACAAACACAACACCAGATCGGACGGATAGAAAATCAATGATCTTGTATTTGCTTTTTGGGGGGTTCTTGTCCTTTCTAGCATTGAATTGATGGGTTATGGCTATGGTTGGGGCATTGTCACTTTGCAGTTTTGGTTCTGATTTGATTAAAGGTGATCAGCAAAAAGATCGGCTTCTTTTTTGCTATAAATTTTACCTTTTTGGTTGAGGTTGGATTTGAAAGGTGCACGGAGCAGTGTCTTAAATCACATCTAAAGTTTACTTTTGGCGAGCTTTCAAAAAAAACTTTACTTTTTACGAGATTATTAGATCTCAACTTCTAAGTCACTAAGCTTCTGGTATGCATATACTGTATCATCCTATCGATGTCTTCAGTTCCGTGAGGATCTTATGTCCGGCTTCAATGATCGTGTAGGATACTAGGATAATCCAGAATTCGTTCATCGAAAACTGCATTTCTATTATTCATTGTGACATTCGGACTGACTTAAAATCATCAGTCAAACCTATTTTTGGTGGAATGTAGAATGGACTCCATGTTTATTTCATCCGATACTCTTTCTCGTTCTCCGTAGTTTAGGATGAGTTTGGTTTATGAGATATGATTGTTCAGCATAGGGGACCCAGTTTTTGGTGGTGTCAGGTTTTAAGGCAGCCTAGACAAAGCTATCCAAGTAGGGGAACATTTCCCTCAATGCTGGACAAGCCATCTAGCAAAATTGGTTGGACGAGCTCATCCGCCTTCTCTAACCTTGATCATGAGTAAACAAATTAGTGATAATTAGTATGTTATGTTGTTAATTCCTATGGCAATATTAGTGTTGATCAGTGTTACTTACTAGATTGATGAGTGCACGATTTGTTTGTCAGTTAGGGTAGGATAAGTGCTAATATTAATTATCTTGACAAAATCAGTTTTGGTAAGTGTTAGTGTATAATTATTAGTTATAAGATAAGATATATAATTAGTCAGCTATTCACATCCCATCCATTCTCATTCATATAACAAAATAAAAAATGGCTCATCCTATCTGGTCAACCGAACACAAAATTTTAGATGGCTATCTTTGAAAATATGGATAAGACCATCGTGCCCAACCTTGCCCTCAATCCAAACACACCCTTACTTTTAGGTGCACTTTCTTCTGGTTCTGGCTTTCATAAATTTGACTTATTGTCCTTGTTCATCTCTGCTGGAATTTTGAAATATTTTCCTGGTTGTGCATATAACCCCATCTTACTAATTCAGAGCCTTCATGATAATTCTGCTTTGCTGTTTTTACAAATTTGTATTAAATATTTATCACCTATGCACATACCTATTTTGTACGCATATATCTTGGCTTTTGTAGTGAGGCATTAATTGTCACATTGTCCATTTTGCAGGGTGCTGAGCATCCCAGATGTCCCCGGTACTGTCATTCAAGCTATGCAAAATTCATGCAATGTATTTGTTGTGTCCAAACGGAAACTAATTATGAAACTCGCAAGATATCCTCAAACAGCGGTGTGTTCTGAATTCTAAAATCTTCTACCCCATATACTGCATCGATGCCGTTTTTCCTTCTGCTTATTTTAATAAGCTCATTTTGTCTTTTGGATATCGATTTTGCAGAGTCTAACATGAACTTGAGGATCGAGTCCATTAGCCATGAAACATTTGCACTATCACATAGGAGTTTACTGTTTGACAACTTTGCTAATGATGAAGCACAATCAGATTCATTCTCCCAATCCCTCAGCTCATATAGTGCTTCTAATGTTGTTCCAAGTTCAGAAAGTTCCCAACAAGTTGCTTCAGGGAGTTCAGGAGTAAATTGTGCAGGAACAGAAGGAAGTAAGAACTATGATTCTCTTAGCTCCTTGGGGGAAGATCCTTGTCCTGCCTCAAACTCCAGCGAAGAGGTCAGATATATCGTTGCACGTAAAAATTTGAGATGCATTTGCTTGCTTCTAGGACATGCTAAACATGTTTTTTGACCTTATTTACAGTGCCAATCTACAGATGAAGTGTCCAAACTAAGGAAGGAGCTGCAGGAAACCTTAGTAGTCTATGATAAAGCTTGTGTAGACCTCGTCAATGTTAAGAAAAAGGTTAAACTTTTTCCTGAATCCTTTGTATCTTCATGATTTTCTGATACCAAATGGCTATGCTATTCCAATTGTGTACATTCTTTATGTTGTGCATAATCTCCACTGAATAAATTAAACTGTATTTGTAAACTTTGCTTCCATGTTATCATCGTATCACACAGATTCATGTACTTTCTATCGAGTGTTCTGAAGAGGCTAGGAAGGTGGAGCATGCACTAGAGTGGGAGGAAGCTTTGAAGCAGATGGTATCTGATGAGAAGGCGAAACAGCTCGAGGTCATCAACGAAGTTGAGCAAGCAAGAAAATCGTTCACGCGAGAGGCTTATTCAAGGTACAAGACAGAAATGGCTACCAGCATGATCTCTCAGGATAAGGTGCAGATTGTTGATGCTATTTTGTCAAAGAGCAGAAGTTGCAGGCGTTATTCGAAGAAAGATATAGAGCTTGCCACTGATAACTTCTCTGAAGAAAGGAAGATTGGTGAGGGGGGTTATGGCAATGTGTACAGGTGTACCCTTGATCACACTGAAGTAGCTGTGAAGGTCATTCAGGAAGACTCCATTGACAAAACTGATGAGTTCTTGAAGGAGGTAACTGATGATTCCTACATTCCAAGATACCATTCAAAATTCACAGTACTGGAGTTTTTCCTTATTATGAACTGTAAATTGTCTGAAACAATTTGATTGCGCTGTACTTTTTGCAGGTTGAGATTCTTAGCCAGCTTCACCATCCCAACCTGGTTTTGTTGCATGGTTTCTGTCCAGAAATTGGCTGTCTGGTGTATGAATACCTGAAGAATGGAAGCCTAGAAGACCAGCTCTTCAATAGCAAAGGGTGCCAACCACTGCACTGGTTCCTCCGGTTCCAGGTCATCTTTGACGTGTCCTGCGGGCTTGCATTCTTGCACGCAAGAAACCCAGAGCCTATTGTCCACCGTGACCTGAAACCGGCCAACATCTTACTGGACAGGAACTACGTGGGCAAGATCGGCGACGTTGGTTTTGCAAAGCTCATCTCTGATCTTGTGCCCGACTGGCAAACCGAGTACAAGGAGACGATCGTCGCCGGCACACTGTACTATATGGACCCTGAGTACCAGCAGACCGGGACCGTTCGTCCCAAATCTGATGTGTTCGCGCTGGGAGTTGTCATCCTGCAACTCCTGACCGGCAGACGCCCAAATGGGCTCATTGTGAGCGCAGAAAACGCTGTGAGAAACGGCAGGCTCTCTGACATTCTCGACAGGTCTCAGACTGATTGGCCGCTTGACGAGGCAGAGATGTTTGCGAGGCTCGGATTGAGATGCACGGCGTTGAAGTGCAGGGATAGGCCTGATCTTGAGTCAGAGGTGCTGCCGAAGCTCGATGAGATCCTGCACAGGATTACTTCTGCTGTCAATTTGAGAAACCCAAAACTGAGTGTGCCAAGTCACTTCATCTGTCCTATAACACAGGTAACTCATGTGCAGCATTTGAATTGGTTTCAGCTCTCTTTAGCTTGTGCTTACCAAAATGGAATTTGGGTGCAGGAGCTGATGGAGGATCCTCACGTCGCCGCCGATGGCCACACCTACGAGCATTACGCGATCAGGGCTTGGCTCAAGAGGCATAAGACATCGCCTGTTACGAGGAGGAAGCTGCCGAATTCGTCCATAATCCCGAACCATTCCTTGCGCACCGCTATGCAGCAGTGGAAGTCACAGTTACCAGCTCAGACAAACGAGTGAAATGGGAGTCAGGTTCATATCTCTTCTTGATTCAACAGTTAATAGTGGTCAAACTATTTTCGCGAGCACGCAAAAAGCCTTTGCTTTCCGGATTTTATAAGTTGTTCAGCCTGTAAATGAGGAAGGGGCAACTGTAAAGCAGAGAATCACGAAGAACGACTTTGTAATTGGAGTGATAGGTCCTCGTTCACCTCGCTAAAAAAACAAGCCGAAACACTGTTTCGACTGATTTATTGTGAGAGAAAAATACTGTTCCGCCTAAAAAAATAAGCTGAAAAGTACGGATTATAAGACAAGCGAACAGAACCAATAATGGTCGTCAGTTTTGGAACAAAGCCAAAGTTGCACGCGAAAAAAGCTTTGGAACAAAGCACTTAAATGGCTTCTTACTATTTACTAGAGCAAGGATAATATTCCAAGTTTTTCGAACCGGACCGGAGATCGAACCGGCGAGGTTCTCGGTTCAATGGTTCATTGGTCCAACCGTTAAGAACCGATTGAACCGTCGGTTCAATTTAATTGAACCGATTAATCGAACCGGCCGCAAATACTCTGAACCGGTGCATATATATATAATTGACAGAATAATATAATTATATTGTACAACCATAAGGACAAAGTTCACACATCATGAAAATATAGGATGACAGATTGACATGGTCTTAAATTCAAAATACAAAGTGCGTGATAACATATATAGGTTCATCTTCACACACAAGAGTGACAACTGACAAGACACAACCATAAGGTTCATAGCAACATAGTCTCACAATCACAGGTTCGTAAATTCAAATATCAAGTGCGTGATGATAAGATAGAAACACATGAAGCATGGTACTCAATAAAAACGTATTGGATCCCATTCATTTTGAGCTCGAGGTTATGCTCCTCCAACATCAACTGCAAATCCACTATAATCATATGCGTCTTCCTGCCTGAGGTTCTGGTACTCCTGGTCCTCTATAATCTCATCACTATCATCCATGGCATCAGCCTCCACCATGTCCATATTAAGCTCCAAATCTGAATTTTTTTACCAATTTAGATTTGATGGTATATAAGCAAAAAGTTGTATATATGTTAAACTGATTTCACAAGGGACATTACCATCACTGCTGCATTGTATATTTAGCTCAGACAGTTTAGTGCGAAACGCTTCTAGCTCTTCAGAGTTAAGGCAAGGTGGATTGTCTTCTAAAATCCAAGCTTCATTTCCATTTCCAATTTCTTCCAACATTATTGGGTCATAATTTCTAGTCCATATGGGTGCATATGGGTGCCCTTCCACATATTCCTGTTGCATCTTCTTTTTCTTCTCATTCCAATCTTCAATATTTTTATACATTGTATGCTCAACCTCAGGATCAACCTTCTTACATGCAGCTACATTACCAGGCCATTTGGCCAAATGTTCCTTGAAACGATGGATTCCTCCTCCTAAGAAAGTCGTGTCACAGTACATGCATTTGATCTTCTTTCTCCCTCCTTCCATAATCTGTGTGCAATATCCCCATGCTGGATCAGTTTTCCCTCTTGTCCTTCCTTCTGTGGCAGCCTCTTGGGATGGGGTTGAATTCTGGTTAGAATTTTCAGTCCCAACTGGAGTAGGAGTGTCCGAAGAATCAACTGTGTGTGAAAACAAAAAAACAGTAAGAAAGTTATCAATTTTCACATGAATGAAAATGTTGAACTTAGTCAGTAACAAATTAAACAGATCTGGTATACTCTATTACTCTAGCACTAAACATACTAACAGAGGGCTTCACCAATGAACTCACTAGATCAAATCAAATAACAGCAGGCTAATATATATATAACAGTAGGCTAACATACTAACAGAGAGCTTCAGCATGCACAAATTAAGTTCTAGATCGAACCATCCAAGATTACTTCCATGTTCCATGTTCCATCATCGATGCTACTATATACGGCATCAAATTCAAACCTAAAATCTAAAACTTGAACTCACCAGTAGTCATGTTGGACTTGGAGGCGTGGAGCAGAGCAGAGACAAGAAGTACTGTCGTAGTCGTAGCAGGCTAGAAGCAGCTGCCCTACCGCCGCAAGAAGACGGCCGCCCGCTTCGCCGCTTTCGCGGCAGCCGACCTCGCTCACAAGACGCTCAAGACGGCGCTGCGCGCACGACGCGACGGCGCCCGCTCGCCCCTCGTAGGCCCGCTGCTCGCTCGCGCATGCCCGGCTCACGGCAATGCAGCCTCGCGCACGCCCGCACGGCGACCGCTCGCGCACGGCCACGACGGCACCCGCTCGCCCACGGCGCGGCAATGCGCCCGCTTCGCCATGAGTTCCGCAGCTTCGCAAGACGCGCCGCGCGACGGCGCGCCGCTTCGCCACGCATAACGCCCGACACCCGGCCTCGCGCTCACGCACGCCCGGCCTCACGCTTGCACGCGCCGCGCGCTTTCGATGCCGCCGCCCGCCGAAGCTAGGTCTAGGTGGCGAAAATGGCGGCCGCTGGAATGAAAATGGGGAATTTTTCCCTCCCTCCCTCCGCCCATGATAACCTAAAAAGAAGTGACACATTATTCCATTATTACCCCTGAACAGATAGCCTTCTCCTGAGCTACCAGAGGGTATTTTTGACTAAATAAAAAACCGCCCCGGTTCACACAGAACCTCCCGGTTCACCGGTTCGACAAAAAACCGGCCGGTTTAACCGGATTTTAGCGGTTCGATTGCATGGACGATCTTTTAAGTGAACCAGACCGGTGTAGGCCCTGGTTCGGTCTTTTAGCGGTTCAACCGCCGGTCCAGTCCGGTTCGAAAATCTTGGGATAATAATACAGCCGGACGCTGATTATAGGAAAACTTACCGCCAATCTATCAACCCACTTTGTCTCACAAAATTTCTCAGTTCCTGTGCATAAGCTCGTTGTAAGCCTGCGGCTCGCTTCTCTTCTCTTCTCTCCCCTCTCTTCTCTCCTTCGCCTCAGTATACAGCCTACTTACAGCCCCTTGTTATACTTGGGCCTTGTTCGCTTCTCTTATAATCCGTCTTTTTTAGCTTGTTTTTTCAGCCGGGACAGTGTTTTTCTCTCACAACAAATCAGCCGGGATAGTGTTTCGGCTTGTTTTTTCAGCGAAGCGAACGGGGCCTTGCTCTTACTCTCCCTCTTCAAATATCTGTCTGGCCCTTGCAGTACCACACCCTAAAATTTGCATCATTTCAAAATAGGTGAAATTGATTTAATTGTGCATTTTGTGAGCATTCAAATTTAGGGAAATAATATTTTTTATGAAATTAAAATCAACTATAAGGCTAGATACATGTTAAACCATTCATGCTGCTGCACTCTTATTTTTTTGTGAAGATTGGTTTTAAACAAAAGTGAAAAGGAATTTAAAATCTTTTGAAAGTGGATTTGGAAAATCGCTTTAGAAAAAGAAAAGGGAATTCTTTTCCCTCTCCCTCCCTTCCCTCCAGTTCGGCCCGTTGGCCTCGTTCTCGGCCCAGCCGGCCTGCCTCTGCCTTTCTCTCCCGCCGGCCCGCTCGCCTTCCCTCCCCACTTCTCCTCTTGGGCCGGCCCAGCATTCCACAGGCGCAGCGCCGCTGCCGCTCCCGCTGCCACGCTACGCCTCGCAGTCTGCCGCAGCCGCTAACCGCCCGGGCCCACCTACCAGCGCTGTCGCTACAGTGTTGTCCCCAACCTCCCACGCTGAACCTGGGAGGACGTCGTCCTCATCCCGCCGCTGCCGCGCCTGAGATTCTCGGCGCTTGGGCTTATCCCACGTGCGCCGCACCCCTATAAAGGGCCCCTAAGAGCTGCCGCCGCCCCCTGCTACTCCTAGCACCAGCAGCCTCGCTCAAGCACGCTGCTCCAACGCGAAGCCCTAGCTCACCGTCGCCGACGTCCCCTCGCTGTCCCCGCTCTGTCTCCGCATTCGTTTCACCTGCGGTGAGAATCCCTGTTTCCCCCTCTTTCGTTTCTCATCTTTACCATGTCGAACCGAGGCCTCTAGGGCCGTTTCCACACGCACCGGTGACCTTCTCGCCACCGGCCATGGCTGCCACCGCGCTGGCTTCCTTCTCCGGGCACGCGAATGCCCTAGGTGAGCGCGTCGTTGCCCGCTCTTGCTCCCCACGCCCTCTGTATGCTCCACCGTGGCCCATAGGGCCCTATTTCATGCGCGCCGGCGAAGACTCGCCGCCGCTGGGTTACTGTTCCAGCTAGCCGGTGTCTCTCCCTCCCTCACCGATCTGATCTAGGCCGCTCAGTTTAGATCCAACGGCCCAGGATGGTCGGTACCCCTTCGCGGGTCAGTTTTCATAAAGAGCCCCTCGGCTTTTTAATAATAGAACCCTTGCGCAATCCCAGATTATGTTTTCACTTTTTGAAAGCGTAAACCGTCTCTATTTAGATCTATAGTGCGCCTTCTCAATTTTAAAAGCATATTTATGGTTCTGTTTAATTACAGATTTGCCACTGAACTTGTTTTGCTCATAAAAACTATGTTTTAGGTCCGATTTGATCCGTTCAAGTTGCGTTAGGTTCGTAATTAAGTAATCTACATGTTTATGACACTGATAATCATGTTTTCCACTTTTAAAATTCGTAGCTAGATTTAATTGATTAAATTGCTATAGGAAATCTTGTTTAATTCATAACTTTCATGTTTTAGCTCCAATTTTTGTGATCTTCACGTATGTGTGTTCATAGCGAGACGTAGATTCGTTTTATAAACCTTTCATCTTGTTTTCATACTGTTGGTGTATTGTTCTAATTATAGGCTTGTTTGCTTTGCATGATTGTCTTTGGATGCGTGTTGTTGCTGTCATGATCGAGTATAGACAGTGAGCAATTCGTGGGTGATCTAGAGTACTACTTTGACGACTAGGACCAGCAGGGAAACTTTGAGCAAGGCAATTATAGAATGGAATCTCCTTGTCCTACTCACCATTTAATTATTTAGTCATGTACATGAGTCTAATTTGATACCCGTAAGGATCTCCTAGTTGTTGATACATTGTAGCTCGATTA